TCTTCCATAATGGTTGAACTAATTTACACTCCCACCAACAGTGTAAAAGTAATCCTATTTTTCCACATCCTCTCTAGCATCTATTGTCTGCAGATTTTTTAATGATCACCATTCAATCTTGCATGAGATGGTATCTCAATGTGGTTTTGATTTGCGCATTTTTTCATATGTTTGTTGGCCTCATATATGTCTTCTTTTGAAAAGTGTCTGTTCATGTCCTTTGCCCACTTTTGAATGGGTTTGTTTGTTTTTTTCTTGTTAATCTGTTTTAGTTCTTCATAGATTCTGGATATTAGCCCTTTGTCAGATGGGTAGATTGCAAAATTTTTTCCCATTCTGTTGGTTGCCAGTTCACTCTAATGATTTTTTCTTTTGCTGTACAGAAGCTCTGGAGTTTAATTAGATCCCATTTGTCTATTTTGGCTTTTGTTGCCAGTGCTTTTGGTGTTTTAGTCATGATGTCCTTGCCTATGCCTATGTCCTGAATGGTTTTGCTTAGGTTTTCTTCTAAGGTTTTTATGGTGTTAGGTCTTATGCTTAAGTTTTTAATCCATCTGGAGTTAATTTTAGTGTAAGGTGTGAGGAAGGGGTCCAGTTTCTGCTTTCTGCACTTGGCTAGCCAGTTTTTACAACACCATTTATTAAACAGGGGATCCTTCCCCTTTGCTTGTTTTTGTCAGGTTTGTCAAAGATCAGATGGTGGTAGATATGTGGTGTTGCCTCCGAGGTGTCTGTTCTGTTCCATTGGTCTATGTCTCTGTTTTGGTACCAGTACCATTCTGTTTTTATTACTGCAGCCCTGTAGTGTAGTTTGAAGTCAGGTAGTGTGATGCCTCCAGCTTTGTTCTTTTTGCTTAGAATTTACTTTGCTATGTGGGCTCTTTTTTGGTTCCATATGAAGTTTAAGGTGTTTTTTTTTTTTTTCAGTTCTGTGAAGAGGGTCATAGGTAGCTTTATGGGGATAGCATTGAATCTATAAATGACTTTGGGCAGTATAGCCATTTTGACAATATATTTTCTTGCTAACCATGAGCATGGAATGTTTCTCAATCTGTTTGTGTCCTCTCTGATTTCATTGAGCAGTGGTTTGTAGTTCTCCTTGAAGAGGTTCTTTACATCATTTGTTAGTTGTATTCCCAGGTATTTTATTCTCTTTGTAGCAATTGTGAATGGCTGTTTTTCTTGATTTGGCTCTCTTTAAGTCTGTTGTTGGTGTATGGGAATGCTTGTGATTTTTGCACATTGATTTTTGTATCCTGAGACTTTACTGAAGTTGCTTATCAGTTTCAGGAAATTTTGGCCTAAGATGATAGGGTATTCTAAATATACAATTATGTCATCTGCAAATAGAGACAATTTGACTTCCTCCTTTCCTAATTGAATATGCTTTATTTCTTTTTCTTGCCTTATTGCTCTAGCTATAACTTCCAATATTATATTGAATAGGAGTGGTTAGAAAGGGCATTCTTGTCTAAGGCCAGATTTCAAAGGGTATGCTTCCAGTTTTAGACTGTTGAGTATAATTTTGGCTGTGGTTTTGTCATAAATGGTTTTATTCTTTTGAGATATGTTTCATTGATACCTATTTTATTGAGAGTTTTTAGCACAATGGGCTGTTGAAATTTGTCGAAGCCTTCTCTGCATCTGTTGAGATAATCATGATGCTTTTGTCTTTGGTTCTGTTTATATGGTGGATTACGTTTATAGACTTGTGTGTGTTGAATCAGACTTGTATCCCTGGGATGAAGCCTACTTGATTGTGATGGATAAGCTTTTTGTTATACTGTTGCAATTGGTTTGCCAGTATTTTATTGAAGATTTTTTATGTTCATCATTGATATTTGCCTGAAGTTTTCTTTTTTTGTTGAGTCTCTGCCTGGTTTTGGTATCAGGATGATGTTGGTCCCATAAAATGTGTTATGGAGGATTCCTTGATTCCTTCACTAGTATTGTTTGGAATAGTTTCAGAAGGAATGATACCAGATCCTCTTTGTATGTCTGGTAGAATTCGGCTCTGAATCCGTCTAGACCTGGACTTTTTTTGGTTGTAGGCTTCACTGCTTCAACTTCAGCCATTGTTATTGGTCTGTTCAGGGTTTCAACTTCTTTTTGGTGTAGTCTTTGGAAGGTGCAAGTGTCCAGGAATTTTTTCATTTCTTCCACATTTATTGGTTTATATGCATAGAGTTGTTTGTAGTAATCTTTGACGGTAGTTGTATTTCTGTGGAATCGGTGGTAATATCTCCTTTATTTTTTTTATTGCAGCTATTTGATTCTTCTCTCTTTTTTTATCAATCTGGCTAGCAGTCTGTCTATTTTGTTGATCTTTTAAAACAAAAGCAGCTCCTGGAATTATTGACCTTCTTTGAAGGGTTTTCTGTGTGTCTGTTTCTGAGAATGACCCGGTTTTGATGGCTGTTATAGGTTAGGAACCTATTTCCGATTGGTGAAATTTTGATGGTGTAGAAAATACTTAGGAATTGGGCATTTCCAAGCATTTGCTGCCAGGGTTCGGGCTTCTCTAGAAGAAAATATTTCTTAAAACCTTGAGAGGCATCCAGCTAATTTGTATTTAATTAATGATACAGACTAGTTACTGGACACTAAGACTACATTGAGCATAGTCTCAAGAGAAGTGTGAGTTTGTGTTTTCTGTTTCTTAGTATTAGGCTTTGATGGTTTATCCCTATTTTAACTTTTAGCTTAATGGTTTATAAGTCGTGCAGAATAATTAGTTGGTATTAGAAGTGATAACTAATTCTTCTCATATCTCTAGATAGCAGGACAGGGATTTTTTTAACTGCCTTTTAATTAAGATAATTAAATTGGACTTTCTGTCATTTTTACCTACAATATCCTAGCTAACATCTTCTTCTGGCAGAAAATCTCACGTAGAGTTCTTGGGAAGGTCCTGGAGATCATATCACAGCTTCCCCTACATTCTATTCTTATTTTCAGTGTTCTTGTCAGCCTCTCTAAATTTTCTCTGCACTCACTTTTTCTTGTGGTAAAGATTTTGCTTTTTTTTATTTTCGAAGCTCATGACTATTTGAATCTCAGCTGCCTCAGATTGTTAGATGCAGACCTAAATCAAGGTTATGTTTTCTTCTGTCTTTGCTTTTAAACAGGTAAGCCTGAGAGAACTGGCTAAGATATTCCAGTTTTTCTACCAAGTTCCTTAAAGTTATAGTTTCAGTAGACACACAAATCTAAGAGTATGACAGGTAACAGTTTAACCATCTATTTTTCTACTTTATAACATGGATGGACTACTCTATAGTTACTACAAAAGAACACTAATTACTGTGTTGATCACCTTAACTTGGCCAACTCAGCTTTTCAAGATTTTCTAGTAATAACCACTGTCTTTCATATTAGCCAAGATGTTTTTACGTGAAAATGACAGCAACTCAATTTTAATTTAAAGAAAAAGGTATGAATTGATTCATAAATCTTAAAAGGCTAAGGGTAGCCTGAAGTATGGCCAGATCCAAATTTCTTAGTGCTTTAACGACATCATCACAAATCTGTCTCTTACCATTTTTACATTTGTTTTCCTTTATCTTTTCTTCACTCTCAGGCAACATCTTTTAGGAGCTGACAAACTATGGCTATTAGTGACTTTAGGTTTTTCAACTTCTAACAGTTTAGTACGCCAATGGAATAAGCTGTCTTTTTTTTTTTTTAAGTACTGAGCTGACTTTGATTTGCCTAACTTGCCTAATCCTGTGCTAATCACTGTGTTAAACTTTCAGTTGATAGGCTTGGATGTACCACCTGACCTTGAAGGTTGGGGACAAGGAAAAGAAATTTTTTTAAAAGTTTACTTATTATAAAATGAGTATTGTACAAGCAAACACAACCAGTGTCTATCACTGTCATGAAGAACACTGGGCCAGGAGTCAGAAGAAAAATATAGTCTGATTATAGTTCCATTACCTTCCAGCCATTTTTCCCTTTCTAAGCCTAGTTTTATTATCTGTACCATAAGGGCATTAATACTAAACTCAATTATTTCACAAGATATTTATAACAAAAGGTGAATTTTTATATATAGCTTCAAAACTTATATATAAATAACAGATATTATTAAAATATTACTGAATGATATTTATACTAATGTTTATGTTCCTTTAAAAATACATTTTTTGATACTAAATATAATATAACTATATATAGACTTACTCCCATAAAATTATATTACCATTTTGAAATAGTTCATCCATTCTTCCTTCTTTTTCTCACTTTCTTCCTTCCTTGCTTCCTCCCTCCCTTTCTCCCTTCCCTCCTTCCCTCCCTCCCTCCTTCTTTCCTTCTCTTTATCTCCCCTGCAAAAACAATATAATGTTCATAATTCTCATAAAACTTTAGTGGCAAAATTTCATCCAGCAGGCATACATAATTTTCCTAACTATGCTTATATTGTTGGATATTTAGAATATTCATTATTTTTAACATTATAAATAACACAGCAATGAATGTACACATAATTATTTTCATGGAGTTGCCCTTAGTTGAAACATTTCTTTGTTTAAATTAGAGACAGGGTCTAACTTTGTCACCCAGGCTGCAGTGCAATTGCAAGATCCTAGCTTACTGCAGCCTTGAACTCCTGGCTCTTGATATATAGTGTCAAATGTCTTTCCAAAATAATAGTGGCAATTTAAAATGTCCTTAGCAATATATAGAGGTAGAAATTTCACTAGGCTCTCACCAGTTGGGGTAGATGCTGCCCTTGTCCTGCTCATATTTCTCAGACTATACCATTCTAGTCTATTTAGGTGACTTCCAATTGCTGATGTGCATTACCTCTGTGTTTGGAGTTTTTCTGGGATGCAGAAGGCATTTCTTTCCAAGTGTGTGCTGCAAGTCAGACATGCTAGGAAATTAACATGCCTTGGGAGCAATCCTCAAATAGTGGCTGATGAGAGTTGGTGAAAAGATACCCTTTGAAATGTGTGGTTTATACTAATCCACAGAATTAAGCTCTATTCACTCACAGTGGTAGCTGGCATCATAATGTACTCTTGATTGACTGTTCTGTTTTTTGTTTCTCTTTCCCAGTCATTTGCCATGGTTCCCTGTATGATGCAGGTAAACTACCTACACTTCGAGCTTCATCTCTGAGTCAGCTTCTGGAGGAACCCAAAATAAAACACCAGTATTAGTTATTATCACTCAATTTTTAAATTACCTAATTTACTAGAAAATGAGTTATCAATTATTTGTAGCAACATAGATAAATTTGAAATACTATAAAATGAAAAAAGCAATCTTCAGTGAATTTATAAGTAGGGTAGTATTCATAAAAGAACTCTTATAAAACAACATATGCAAAACAATGTATGCATGCTAAGCTGTGAGATACATGCAAAATTTTTTATAAGTGCAAAATGTTATAAAATATGTAACAAACACACGTGTTGAGCATGCTTGAAAATAATAAAGCCAAATTCAGAATTATAATAACCTTTAGAGAGAAGGAGGTTACTGTAGTTAGGAATGTCACTGAGAGGGTTACATAAGGAGGCTTCAATTGTATTAGTAATGTTTTACTTTTTTAAGTTGCATTGCAGTTCTGTATAACTATATCTTTCCATGTCCTTTTATGTACGGCTGAAATATGTTATTATTGACATTATTAATTAAAATATATAAAACAAAATATAAAGAAGATTCACCAATATTTGTAAAAAAAAAAAAAACCCATTCATCTAATGGCTAAATAAAAATAACTTTATAAGTACAAAAGTAAAATATCAAAAAGTCTGACAGTTAATTATAAAAGTTTTACATTTTTTATGTCAAAAAATGAATGACTTTTTTTTTGTTCTTTATGCTTTTTTGGTCTTTTCCAGGTCTTTTATCACAGATAGCATTACTTTCATAATGAAAAAATAGTTTCAAAGGTAATATGATGACAAGAAGCAAATTTAATTTAAAGTAAAAAACTTACTGACGATGTTTACTTGTTTAAAAATATACATTGTGGACAGAATAGTGTATAGAGATTTACCCTGTAAATTCTTTCCAAGAGCCAGTGCAAGGATTTAACAGAAAATCTGAAAGAATCAACAGACCCTTTGAAATAAGTGGCAGGCTGCGGCCTACTCCATGAGACAGGTGAAAAACTGTTAAGTCCCTAGAGTGTGATGGGGGACAGTCATACTCTGGAGGACATATCCCTTCAGGGAATCTGAAAAACCAGGCCATGGGAGAAGACCTTAACCTTACCCAGAGCTGAAACAAATTGAGGGAGTGGTGTGAGATATAAAAGTAGAGATGGCAGGAGGAAGTGCATTGTAGACATTCCCAGTCTTCACTGTGAACCCAGGAAAGCCATTTCTGACTATATCTCACAGGGACCCTCAAGAAAGTCAACCAATAAGCTCAGGGAGAGGTTGCAGGTTGAAAGAAGCTCCCAACTGAATTTTGCGATTATAATCTTGAGTAGGAACAAACTCCCTTGACCAGAACCCAGCCAGGGTTGAGCGGGAGCACAAGTGGAAAGTGTGCTGCAGACATGAGCACAGGAGTTGGGTGCCCAGCCTTGTGGGCAGATGGGAATGGGTGTGGCCAGAAAGTGGAGGTTGCTCTCTCTGTGGGAAGCTTATGGCCTCAGGCAGGTCTGAGTTCTGTGGGCAGACTGTCTGGATCTAAACCCAGTGCTGTTAGTGGAGTGAGATTGGCCTCACCAATTGCATGGGAGCTGAGTGAGGTTTACTGCTGCCTGATACTCCCTACTCCCTATGCAAACTCTTCTCTGCAGCAAAGGCAATTATACTTCTCTCTGGAACATTATCCCAGTAGCCTGAAAACCTCTCCTTGACCCTCACAGGGTCTGTGGCTATCCCTGCCCAAGGAGAGTCAGAGCACAAACCCGACTAACCCTATCCCTACCTGGTTGTGCCCCTCCACTTACCCTGATAGCTTAACATAAAGGACATAAATGTTTAGGAGCTTTATACCTCCACCCATTGCCTGAGAAACCAGAATACTTCCCCTAGGTAACTTAGGGCAAACTCAAATCCCACTGCTACTACCACAGCTGGTGCTGTTTCACAAGTGCCACCTGTTGGCTGGAGGCCAACCAAAACAGTCCATTACAGCTCCTCCATGTAGAATAATACTGTGTCCAGATTGGAAAAAAATGACTGCATGACCTCAGCCGTACTCATCACTGCTGCGTACAACACCCTGGTTAACCAACGATCCTGACTGGATCCACATGACAAGTTCATGATAATTATAACCAGCATTTGAGAAAGCCAGCACACTAAGCCTATCAACCAAGGAATCTCACAGAATCTACGTCACTCCCCTACCACCTTCGTCAGAACTGGTGCTGGTATCCACTGCGGGGAGACTTGAAGACAGGTCACATCACTAGATCTCTTGTAGACATTCCTCAGTCTGATAACTCCACTAGGTGGCTAGAACCAAAAGAGCAGTAACAATTACTGTAGTCTGGCTCTCAGGAATTCCCATTCTTAGGGGAAGGGAGAGAGCATAACATCAAGGGAACACCTGTGGGACAGAAGAATCTGAATGACAGGTCTTGAGTTCCAGATCTTTCCACTGATCGAAAGTTTCTTACAGCAGAGACACAAATGCAGTGCTGCTCTGCACCTCTATCCCAACAGGGAGGCAGCTTCTCTGATTGTTAAGGATCTTGGAGATGGTATCCTTGTTCCCCCTAGTACACCACTGCAGACACAGCTGGGGCTTCTCCCACAGGAATACTGCATGGTTGCACCTATACTCAGCTTTCCTAGAACAATTCATGGTGATTGCATCCCCACAGGAAGAGCATTCTCCAAGTCAGGCTCTCATGAGAGGCAGAATCACAACTCCTCTTTATGTAGAATATCAACATTTGTACAAATGAAAAAAATAGTCTGTCTAACCTGAATAACCAGAACACTGGGATAGAAATAAGACTGGGAAGTGGATGACTTCCCTACTGGCCTGGCAGGATAGCTCATGTGCTCCCATCCTTCTACATGATAAAACCTCAGTACATCTAACTGAGGGCTTCCCAGCCACCTTCATCAAGGCTGAGATGTCTGACCACCACTGGGTATTACATCTACCTATCTGCTTTAGCTACAACCAGTGCCTACCTAGGGATACTTCTACTGATCTGAAGCCTGAATTATCAACTCAGTAAATAAAACACTGGAGAAAAATAACCTCATATGATACAGTGAACTTACCCACATACCAAGTACATAACTACAACAAGCATCTGGGAAAGACAGTGCACAAAGTCCCTCTATAACTAAGGAAAGTCATACAGAGTCTTTCCTGCTAAAAGCACCAAGAATTAAATAGGCTATAATAAACTATAAACATTAAAGTCAAATTCTTAGGGAAAAATTAAATTAAATTTAAAACACAGCCAAATAAAAACAAATTCAAGAACAATTTGAAGAAAAGTCTATCCAAATGAGAAGGAATGAGAAAAGTAATTCTGGTAATATGATAAAATAGGGTTCTATAACACTCCCAAGAGATCAACTAGCTCCCCAGCAAACCAAGATGAAATCTTTGAAAACCCAGATAAAGAAGTCAGAAGTTTAATTATTAAACTACTCTGGGAAATACCAGCAAAAGGTGAAAGGCAATGTAAAGAAGTTTTTTAAATTCAGATATGAACAAAAAAAATTCTAGAGCGATAGATATCATAAAGAAAAACCAATCAGAACTTCTGGAAATAAAAGACATACTTAGGGAAATACAAAATGTAGTGAAAAGTCTCGATAATAGACAAGAACAAGTAGAAGAAATCATTTCAGATCTTGAAGACAAGGATTTTGAATTAACCCAATCAGAAAAAGATAAAGAAAAAAGTATCAAAAGAACTTATCAAAATCTCCAAGAAATATGGGATTATGTAAAATGGCCAACCCTAAGAATAACTGGTGTTACTGAGACAGAAGTCTAAGAGCTTGAAGAACTTATTTTAAGGAATAATTGAGGAAAACTTCCCTGGCCTTGCTAGAGATACAGATATCCAAATATAAGAAGCTCAGACTCCCGGGAAATTCCATTGCAAAAAGATCATCACCAAAGCACATAGCCATTAGGTTATCTAAAGTCAGCATGAATAAAGTAATTTTAATAGCTGTGAGACAAAGGCATCAGGTAACCTATAAAAGAAAACCTATGAGACTAACAAATTTCTCAAATATTACAAGCCAGAAGGGATTGAGGTCCTATCTTTACCTCCTTAAACAAAATAATTGTCAGCCAAGAATTTTGTATTCAGTAAAACTAAGCTTATAAATGGATATATAAAGTCTTTTTCAAACAAACAAATGCTGAAGGAATTTGCCACTACCAAACCAGCGCTACAAGAAATGCTAAATGGAGTTCCATATCTTGAAACAAACCTTGATCAATATCAAAATGGAACCTCCTTAAAGCATAAATCTCACAGAGCCTATAAAATATTAACATAATAAAGAAAAATAAAATAGGGAAAATTGATATAATAAATAGAACAGTAATTCACATCTTAATATTAATGTTGAATGTAAATATCCTAAATGCTTCACTTAAAAAGATACAGAATGGTAGAATGGATTAAAAAAAAATACTAACCAAATATTTACTGTTCAAGAGACTTACCTAACACATAAAGACTCACATAAACCCAAGGCAAAGAGGTGGAAGAAGCTATTCCCCGCAAGTGGAAACTGAAAGCAAGCAGGAGTCACTATTCTTACATCAAACAAAACAGACTTTAAAACAATACAATAAAAAAAGACAAAGAAGCACATTATATAGTGATAAAATGATTAGTTCAGCAACAAGACATTGCAATCCTAAATTTGTATGCACCTAACACAGGAGCTCCAAAATTTATAAAATAATTACTGCTAGATCTAAAAGTAACCCACCCTCAAAACTATGCAAATACATAGAAATTAAATAGTCTACACTTGAATAATTTCGGGGCAGATAATAAAGTCAAGATGGAAATAGAAAATTATTGGAAATAAATGACAAAAGTGACACAACTTATCAAAATTTCAGGGATACAGCAAAAGCAGTATGAAGAAAAAATTTCATGGCATTAAATAACTATATTAAAAAGTCTGAAAGAGCAAAAACAGACAACCAAATGTCA